GCACCCTATTGCATCCCCATTGCACACCCATTGCACCCTATTGCATCCCCATTGCACACCCATTGCACCCTATTGCATCCCCATTGCACACCCATTGCACCCTATTGCATCCCCATTGCACACCCATTGCACCCTATTGCATCCCCATTGCACACCCATTGCACCCTATTGCATCCCCATTGCACACCCATTGCACACCCATTGCATCCCCATTGCACACCCATTGCACACCCATTGCACACCCATTGCACCCCATTGCATCCCCATTGCATCCCCATTGCACACCCATTGCACATCATTGCATCCCCATTGCACACCCATTGCACACCCATCACACCCCCATTGCACACCCATTGCACACCCATTGCACACCCATCCCACCCCCATTGCACACCCATTGCACCCCATTGCACACCCATTGCATCCCCATTGCACACCCATCCCACCCCCATTGCACACCCATTGCACACCCATCACACACCCATTGCATCCCCATTGCATCCCCATTGCGCACCCATTGCACACCCATGGCATCCCCATTGCACACCCATTGCACCCCATTGCATCCCCATTGCACACCCATTGCACACCCATTGCACACCCATTGCACACCCATTGCATCCCCATTGCACCCCCACTGCACCCACATTGCACACCCATTGCACCCCCATTGCACCCCCATTGCACCCCCATTGCACCCCCATCCCACCCCCATCGCACCCCCATCCCACCCCCATTGCACACCCATTGCACCCCCATTGCACCCCCACTGCACACCCATCCTACCCCCATCGCACCCCCATCACACCCCCCCCGTGCTTGTGCAAGGGGGGGAACACGGGGGGGCAGGGGGGGCACGGGGGGGGGGTGGGTGCATCCTGGGGTTCACATGCTCACAGGGGTGTATGTGTACAGGAGCGCACACATGGGGGTGCATGCATGGGGTGGGCACACACCCACATGGGGGCACACACATGAGGTGCACATGGGACACACACACACGTGGGGCACACATGGGGCACACACATGGGTGCACACACATGGGGCGCATATGGGACACACACACGTGGGGCACACATGGGGCACACACACGTGGGGCACACACATGGGTGCACATGGGGCACACACACACGTGGGGCACACACATGGGGCACACACATGGGGTGCACATGGGGCACACACACACGTGGGGCACACACATGGGTGCACACATGGGACACACACACGTGGGGCACACATGGGGCACACACACACATGGGTGCACACACATGGGGCGCACACATGGGGCTCACACATGGGTGCACACACATGGGTGCACACACATGGGGTGCACATGGGGCACACACACACGTGGGGCACACACATGGGGCACACACATGGGGTGCACATGGGACACACACACGTGGGGCACACACATGGGTGCACACACACACACATGGGGCATGCACACATCACACACACACATGGGTGCACACATGGGGCACACACACCATGTCCCCATGTCCCCATGTCCATCTCCCCATGTCCATGTCCATGTCCTGTATCCCCTATCCCATATCCATGTTCCCGTATCCCATGACTGCGTCCCATGTCCTACGTCCATGTCCCATATCCCATGTCCCATGTCCCATATCCCATGTCCATGTCCCATGTCCATGTCCTGTATCCCATATCCCATATCCATGTTCCCATACCCCATATCCCATATCCCATATCCCATGCCCCATATCCCATACCCCATACCCTATATCCATGTTCCCATATCAATGTTCCCATACCCCATATCCATGTTCCCATATCCATGTTCCCATACCCCATATCCCACATCCCATATCCGTATCCCATACCCCATATCCCATATCCAATATCCCACATCCCATATCCATATTCCCATACCCCACACCCCATACCCCCCATACCCCATACCCGTACCCCATACCCATACCATATATCCCACACCCCATACCTGTACCCCATACCCCATATCCACACCCCACACCCCACACCCCATACCCCCCATCCCATATCCATATTCCCATACCCATACCCCATACCCCACACCCCCCACACCCCACACACCCCATACCCGTACCCCATACCCCACACACCCCACACCCCACACACCCCACAGCCGTACCCGTACCCATACCCGTGTCCCGTGTCCCATGCCCGCGCCGCAGACGTACGAGCAGCGCAAGGTGGTGGAGTTCACTTGCCACACCGCCTTCTTCGCCAGCATCGTGGTGGTGCAATGGGCCGACCTCATCATCTGCAAGACCCGCCGCAACTCCGTCTTCCAGCAGGGCATGAAGTGGGTGCCCCCCCCCCCACCCTTAACCACCCCCCCCCTTTAGCAGCACCCATGGGTGCTCCCGCACCCCACCCGCTGCTCCTTGTGCACCCCTAGGAACAAGATCCTCATCTTCGGGCTGCTGGAGGAGACGGCGCTCGCCGCGTTCCTGTCCTATTGCCCCGGCATGGGGGTGGCGCTGCGCATGTACCCCCTCAAGTGAGCTGGGAGCAGGGGGGAGCCCCGCACCCATGGGTGCCCCCCCTTGGTCACCCTCTAACCCCTTGTCCCATGCAGGGTCACTTGGTGGTTCTGCGCCTTCCCCTACAGCCTCCTCATCTTCGCCTATGATGAAGTGAGGAAGCTCATCCTGCGCCGGTACCCGGGCGGTGAGTGGGGACCCCCCCCCCCATGGGTCCCAATCCCGCCCCATGGAGCCCCCAAAACCCCCCTTGGAGCTCAGCATCCCCAACACTGGCGCAGCTCCCCCCCAAAAACACCTTCAGGGTTGGGGAGGTCTTCAGGGAGCCACAGGGGGTTGGGGGGCACCCTATAAGTATGGGGAGAACACAAAGGGGTTGGGGGGTGAAGGGAAGTGGGTGGGTGCCCCATAGGAGAAAGGGAGAGCCAGGAGGCGTGGGGGGGCACCCAAGGGTAGGGGCACCCCACTGATGCCCTCCCCATTGCAGGCTGGGTGGAGAAGGAGACCTACTACTAAGAGGCTGTGCCCCCCCCCCCCATCACCCCCTGTGCACCCCCAAACTAACCCCGGGAGTGGGGGGGGCACCCAGAGCCCCCCCCCCCCCAAATTCAGAGCAATAAAGGAGCTTAACCCCTCGTGCCCTTGTCTGTGATGGGGGGGGGGGATTGGGGGACATGGGGGGGGATGGAGCCCAGCTGAACCCCCCCTTCCTCCGTGTCCCCCCATGTCCTCTGTGTCCCCAACAGCCCATGACCCCCACTTGTTACCTGATGCCCTCCCATGTCCCCCCCTTGGGGCACCCCATCTCTGAGTATGGGGGTCCCCAGCACCCCCCTGAGGGGCACCCCGGGGCTGGGGGGGGGATCTCCATCCTCATCTGCGTGTTTGTGTGTCCATCCCGTGGTGGGGACACTGGTGGGGACTGGGGGACACTGGTGGGATGGGTGACTGCACCTGAATGGCACTGGGGAGGTGGCTGCCATGGGGAGGTGGTTGCCATGGGGACAGGATGCCATGGGGAGGTGGCTGCCATGGGGAGGTGGTTGCCATGGGGAGGTGGTTGCCATGGGGACAGGATGCCATGGGGAGGTGGTTGCCATGGGGACAGGATGCCATGGGGAGGTGGTTGCCATGGGGAGGTGGTTGCCATGGGAGATGGAAGCCATGGGGAGGTGGTTGCCATGGGGACACGTTGCCATGGGGAGGTGTTTGCCATGGGGAGGTGGTTGCCATGGGGACACGTTGCCATGGGGACACGTTGCCATGGGAGGTGGTTGCCATGGGGACACGTTGCCATGGGGAGGTTGTTGCCATGGGGACACGTTGCCATGGGGAGGTGGTTGCCATGGGGACACGTTGCCATGGGGAGGTGGTTGCCATGGGGACACGTTGCCATGGGGAGGTGGTTGCCATGGGGACACGTTGCAATGGGGAGGTGGTTGCCATGGGGACACGTTGCCATGGGGAAACGTTGCCATGGGGAGGTTGTTGCCACGGGGAGGTGGTTGCCATAGGGAGGTGGTTGCCATGGGGACACGTTGCCATGGGAGATGGTTACCATGGGGAGGTGGTTGCCATGGGGACACGTTGCCATGGGGAGGTGGTTGCCATGGGGACACGTTGCCATGGGGTCACGTTGCCATGGGGAGGTGGTTGCCATGGGGAGGTTGTTGCCATGGGGAGGTTGTTGCCATGGGGAGGTGGTTGCCATGGGGACACGTTGCCATGGGAGATGGAAGCCATGGGGAGGTGGTTGCCATGGGGACACGTTGCCATGGGGAGGTGGTTGCCATGGGGACACGTTGCCATGGGGAGGTGGTTGCCATGGGGACACGTTGCCATGGGGAGGTTGTTGCCATGGGGACACGTTGCCATGGGGAGGTGGTTGCCATGGGGACACGTTGCCATGGGGAGGTGGTTGCCATGGGGACACGTTGCCATGGGAGATGGTTGCCATGGGGAGGTTGTTGCCATGGGGAGGTTGTTGCCATGGGGAGGTGGTTGCCATGGGGACACGTTGCTATGAGGAGGTGCTGTCCAGGGCAGCCACAGTCCCGGGATGGGGATACCCGAAGGGATGGGGGGCACCCCCTGACCCCCCCCAGGGGCTGACAGGAGCTGTTGCGGGCCCAGCCGCGGGGGGGCCGGGGGGAGGCTCCGGCGCTGGAGCCTTGATCCCACCGGATCAACCCCCCCGCGGCCTCAATCCCGCCGGAGGAGGGGGGACCCTCCCCGCTGCCCCCCCTTCAGCTCCCTCACAGAGCCCGGGGGGGGGGGTTTGGGGGTGCACAAGCTGAGAGCCACGTTTGAGACCTGGGATGGGGACGGCTCCGATGGCCCCATTGACACCCCCAATGTGCCCCTTGTTGGGGGGGGGGGGGACCGGAGAACCCCCCAAGGGCCCAGGCGAGAGCCCCCTTGCAAGAGCCCCCCAAGGAGCTCCCCCCCCCCCGTGAGCGATCCCCGTGCAAGGGCTCACCCGGTGCCGTCCCCCTCTTTTGAAGCCCCGCCCCCTTGGCCACGCCCCGTTAAGCCCCGCCCATCACCAGGGCCCCCACCCCGTTAAGCCCCGCCCCGCTGCTCAAAGCGGCAGCACCGAGAGCGCCCGAACGGCTGCAACGGCACCGGCACCGCCACCACCGGCCGGTGAGTGCATGGGGGGGGGGGGGGAACGGGACGGGACGGGACGGGACCGGACGGGTCCCACCGGGCACCGGGAGCCGCCACCGGGAGCGGAACCGGGGCCGGATGGAGATGGAGAGCGCGGCCGCCGCCTCCATCCGGTCCCGATCCCGATCCCGATCCCGGTCCCGGTGCCGGTCGCGGTCCCGCGGTGTTAACCCCGCTCCGGTACTACCGGACCCCCCCCGCTCCGTGATTCCCCCACTTCCCTTTTCCCACCGCGCCGGGATTCGAACCCGTGACCCACAGCGGGGGGGGGGGGGACGGGACGGGACCCGCGCTCCACCCGGTGCCAGCCGGTGCCGCTCCCCACGCATGATACGGGGGGACCCCCCCCGCCCCGCCCCACTGCAACCGGGGGGGGGGGCCCAGATGTGCCCCAGATGTGGGATGCTGCGGGTAGGGGATGGGGGGGGGGGGTGTCTGTGTGTGTGTGTGTGTGTGTGCCCCCCACTTTCCGTGGGGCAGGGACTGGGGGTCGCGGGGGCCACACAAAGGCCCCTTGTCCCTATGGGGGGGGGGGATTTAGGGGGGGATTTAGGGGGGATTAATCGCGTCCTGTTATCTCCACCACAACACGGGGGGGGGGGGGATTAATCGCCCCCCACCCTTCCCTATGAAAGGGCCCAGCGAGGCCCCGCCCCTCGATGAATATTCATGAGGCGATTTGCATGGGAAGAGTGAAGGGGGGGGGGGTGTCCCACGGGTTTGGGGGGGGGGTTTGGGCATCCCACATCCCCCCCCCCATCACCACCCGTTTGAGCCTGGGAATGGGCACGCGGCCACGGTGGGGGGAGGGGGGGGCCCATCCCCCATTCCCATTCCCATTCCCATCCCCCCATCCCCACCCCCCCCCCCCCCGTCCCCCCCCCTCCCGGAAGGACCCAACGTCCGGGCCAAGGGCTGAGTCATCGGCGGCCTTAAAGGGGCCGGACACGCTTGGGGGGGGGGGGGGGGGGGGGCATTGGGGGGGGAGGGGGTCACATGTGAGTGTGAGCGTGGGGCACGCGTGTGCGCACGTGCGGGTGCAGGGGGGGGGGGTGTTTATTGGGGGGGGGGGGGTGCGCATGCGTGCACGTGGCCATGGCCGTGTGTCCATGTGTCCTCTGTTCCCCCCCCCCCCCACTTCCATGTGTGTCCCTCTTGGGGTGCCCCCTCCCCACCGTACAAACAACCCCCCCACACCCCACACCCCCCCCCCATAGCACCCACGGGTGTCACTATGGGGCAGCGGGATGCTGCGATCGCCACGGCAACCGCATCCCTAGGGTGGGTGGCAGCGGTTGCCATGGTGACCGAGGAGCAACAGGAGATAGGGGTGACCCTCCCCCTTATACACACACACACCAACACCCCCCCCAATGGACCCTGGGTGCTGGTGTCCCCCCCCCCCCATCCCTGTCACATCCCATGACCATCACATGAGTCATGGGCCAGTGGAGCGTGGAAGCGTGTTGGGGGGTGACACACACGTGTTGGGGGGTGACACACACGTGTTGGGGGGTGACACACGTGTTGGGCACACATGCATGTGGGAAGACGCACATGCATGTTGGGGGTGACATACATGTGTTGAGGGGTGACATACATGTGTTGAGGGGTGACATACATGTGTTGGGTACACATGCATGTGGGAACATGCACATGCATGTTGAGGGGTGACACACATGTTGAGGGGTGACATACATGTGTTGGGTACACATGCATGTGGGAACACACACATGCATGTTGAGGGGTGACACACACGTGTTGAGGGGTGACACACACACGTGTTGGGGGTTGCCACCCACGTGTTGGGGGGTGATACACGTGTGTTGGGGGTGACACACGTGTTGGGGGTTGCCACACGCGTGTTGGGGGTTGCCACCCCTGTGTTTGGGGGTGCCACACGTGTGTTGGTGGGTGCCACATGCGTGTTGAGGGGTGACCCACGTGTGTTGGGGGTGACCCACGCGTGTTGGTGCGTGCCACACGCGTGTTGGTGGGTGCCACACATGTGTTGGTGGGTGCCACATGCATGTTGAGGGCTGACCCATGCGTGTTGGTGGGTGCCACACACATGTTGAGAGGTACCACAGGCATGGTGGGGGGGTGCCACACATGTATTGGTGGGTGCCACACGCATGTTGAGGGGTGCCACACATGTATTGGTGGGTGCCACACACATGTTGAGGGGTGCCATAGGCATGTTGGGGGGGTGCCACACATGTATTGGTGGGTGCCACACGCATGTCGAGGGGTGCCACATATGTATTGGTGGGTGCCACACACATGTCGGGGGGTGCCACACATGTATTGGTGGGTGCCACACGCATGTTGAGGGGTGCCACACATGTATTGGTGGGTGCCACATGCATGTCGGGGGGTGCCCCATGCATGTCGAGGGGTGCCACACATGTATTGGTGGGTGCCACACGCATGTCGAGGGGTGCCCCATGCATGTCGAGGGGTGCCACAGGCACCCACACGCGTGTGGGCTGAGGCCGGGCAGCTCGTGACGCTGCTGGGCGCAGCCATGGCCGAGTACCGCAGCCTCCTGGAGGAGCTGGCCCAGAACATCACGGCCGAGGACCTGGAGCAGCTCAAGTCCGCCTGCAAGGAGGACATCCCGAGCGGCGAGAGCGAGGCCATCGCCACCAGCCACCACTGGTTCAGCTTCCTGGAGAAGCACGGCAAGCTGGGGCCAGGTGGGAGCCGCCGGGACCCCGGCCCTCCCCTGCTCCCCGTCCCGGGGTCTTGATCGCTCCCCACCGGGTCCCCAGCCCCGTCTCTCCCTGCTCCCCGGGGTCCCGGCTCCGTTCGCCATCCCACGCGCATCCCCTCTCCTGCTCGCTGGCCGTTGCCCTCATCCTGTTCTGTCTCCTCTTCCCATCCCCATCCTGCTCCCATCCCCATCCTGCTCCCATCCCCATCCTGCTCCCATCTCCCATCCTGCTCCCATCTCCCATCCTGGTCCCATCCCCATCCTGCTCCCATCCCCATCCTGCTCCCATCCCCATCCTGCTCCCATCTCCCATCCCGCTCCCATCTCCCATCCAGTCCCATCCCCATCCTGGTCCCATCCCCATCCTGCTCCCATCTCCCATCCTGCTCCCATCTCCCATCCAGTCCCATCCCCATCCTGCTCCCATCTCCCATCCTGCTCCCATCCCCATCCTGGTCCCATCTCCCATCCTGGTCCCATCTCCCATCCTGGTCCCATCCCCATCCTGCTCCCATCTCCCATCCTGCTCCCATCCTGCTCCCATCTCCCATCCTGGTCCCATCCCCATCCTGCTCCCATCTCCATCCTGCTCCCATCTCCCATCCAGTCCCATCCCCATCCTGGTCCCATCTCCCATCCTGGTCCCATCTCCCATCCTGGTCCCATCTCCCAACCTGCTCCCATCCCCATCCTGCTCCCATCCCCATCCTGTTCCCATCTCCCATCCAGTCCCATCCCCATCCTGGTCCCATCTCCCATCCTGGTCCCATCCCCATCCTGGTCCCATCCCCATCCAGTCCCATCCCCATCCCGGTCCCATCTCCCATCCTGGTCCCATCCCCATCCTGCTCCCATCCCCATCCTGCACCCATCCCCATCCTGCTCCCATCTCCCATCCTGCTCCCATCCCCATCCTGGTCCCATCCCCATCCTGCTCCCATCCCCATCCTGCTCCCATCCCCATCCTGCTCCCATCCCCATCCTGCTCCCATCCCCATCCTGCTCCCATCTCCCATCCAGTCCCATCCCCATCCTGGTCCCATCCCCATCCAGTCCCATCCCCATCCTGCTCCCATCTCCCATCCTGGTCCCATCCCCATCCTGCTCCCATCTCCCATCCTGCTCCCATCTCCCATCCTGGTCCCATCCCCATCCTGGTCCCATCCCCACCCTGCTCCCATCCCCATCCAGTCCCATCCCCATCCTGGTCCCATCCCCATCCTGCTCCCATCTCCCATCCTGGTCCCATCTCCCATCCTGGTCCCATCCCGGTCCCATCCCCATCCTGCTCCCATCTCCCATCCTGCTCCCATCTCCATCCTGCTCCCATCTCCCATCCTGCTCCCATCTCCCATCCTGGTCCCATCCCGGTCCCATCCCCATCCTGGTCCCATCTCCCATCCTGGTCCCATCACCATCCTGGTCCCATCCCCACCCTGGTCCCATCCCCATCCAGTCCCATCCCCATCCTGCTCCCATCCCCATCCTGCACCCATCCCCATCCTGCTCCCATCTCCCATCCTGGTCCCATCCCCATCCTGCTCCCATCTCCCATCCTGCTCCCATCTCCCATCCTGCTCCCATCTCCCATCCTGCTCCCATCTCCCATCCTGGTCCCATCTCCCATCCTGGTCCCATCCCCATCCAGTCCCATCCCCATCCTGCTCCCATCTCCCATCCTGGTCCCATCCCCATCCTGCTCCCATCTCCCATCCTGCTCCCATCTCCCATCCTGCACCCATCCCCATCCTGCTCCCATCCCCATCCTGGTCCCATCCCCATCCTGGTCCCATCCCCATCCAGTCCCATCCCCATCCTGCTCCCATCTCCCATCCTGGTCCCATCCCCATCCTGCTCCCATCTCCCATCCTGCTCCCATCTCCCATCCTGCTCCCATCTCCCATCCTGGTCCCATCTCCCATCCTGGTCCCATCTCCCATCCTGGTCCCATCCCCATCCTGGTCCCATCTCCCATCCTGGTCCCATCTCCCATCCTGGTCCCATCCCCACCCTTCTCCCATCCGCATCCAGTCCCATCTCCATCCTGCTCCCATCCCCATCCTGCTCCCATCCCCATCCTGCTCCCATCCCCATCCTGCTCCCATCCCCATCCTGCTCCCATCTCCCATCCAGTCCCATCCCCATCCTGGTCCCATCCCCATCCAGTCCCATCCCCATCCTGCTCCCATCTCCCATCCTGGTCCCATCCCCATCCTGCTCCCATCTCCCATCCTGCTCCCATCTCCCATCCTGGTCCCATCCCGGTCCCATCCCCATCCTGGTCCCATCTCCCATCCTGGTCCCATCTCCCATCCTGGTCCCATCCCCACCCTGCTCCCATCCCCATCCAGTCCCATCCCCATCCTGCTCCCATCCCCATCCTGCTCCCATCCCCATCCTGCTCCCATCTCCCATCCTGGTCCCATCCCCATCCTGGTCCCATCCCCATCCAGTCCCATCCCCATCCTGCTCCCATCTCCCATCCTGCTCCCATCCCCATCCTGCTCCCATCTCCCATCCTGCTCCCATCTCCCATCCTGGTCCCATCCCGGTCCCATCCCCATCCTGGTCCCATCTCCCATCCTGCTCCCATCCCCATCCAGTCCCATCCCCATCCTGCTCCCATCCCCATCCTGCTCCCATCCCCATCCTGCTCCCATCTCCCATCCAGTCCCATCCCCATCCTGGTCCCATCCCCATCCAGTCCCATCCCCATCCTGCTCCCATCTCCCATCCTGCTCCCATCTCCCTCCTGCTCCCATCCCCACCCTGCTCCCATCCCCATCCAGTCCCATCCCCATCCTGGTCCCATCCCCATCCAGTCCCATCTCCCATCCTGGTCCCATCCTGGTCCCATCTCCATCGTGCTCCCATCTCCCACCCTGGTCCCATCCCCATCCTGCTCCCATCCCCATCCAGTCCCATCCCCATTCTGCTCCCATCTCCATCCGGTCCCATCCCCATCCTGGTCCCCCCACTCTTCCCTGTCTGGGTCCCCATCCCCTCTCCTGGCTCCAGTCCCTGTCCAAGTGCTACCCCTTGGTCCCATCCCACCCCTGTGTCCCTGCCCCATGGTGTTGGTGTCGTGGTGTCCCTGTCCCCATCCCCACAGTGTCCCTGCCCCACGGTGTCCCTGCCCCATGGTGTTGGTGTCATGGTGTCCCTGTCCCCATCCCCACGGTGTCCCTGCCCCATGGTGTTGGTGTCATGGTGTCCCTGTCCCCATCCCCACGGTGTCCCTGCCCCATGGTGTTGGTGTCATGGTGTCCCTGTCCCCATCCCCACAGTGTCCCTGCCCCATGGTGTTGATGTCATGGTGTCCCTGTCCCCGTCCCCACGGCATCCCCATCCCCACAGTGTCCCTGCCCCACAGCATCCCTTCCCCACGGTGTTCCTGCCCCACGGCATCCCTGCTCCACAGTGCCCCTGCCCTATGGTGTCCCTGCCCCACGGCACCCCTTACCCACGGCGTCCCTGCCCTATGGTGTCCCCGCCCCACAGCGCCCCCGCCCCACAGCACCCCCCGCCCCACAGCACCCCCGCCCCACAGCACCCCCGCCCCACGGCACCCCGGTGACGCCACCCCACTGCCCCAGACACGCTCTCGTACGTGGAGCACATCTTCGAGATCTCGCGCCGCCCGGACCTGCTCACCACGGTCGTGCGGTACCGGACCCACGTGCTCAAGATCTCGGAGGAGGACGAGGTGGACACGAAGCTCACGCGCATCCCCAGCGCCAAGAAGTACAAGGGTGAGGGGGGGGGAATCCATGGGGAGAGGGGATCCATGGGGATGGGGGAAACCAGGGGGAGCGGGAAACCATGGGGATGGGGGAATCCATGGGGATGGGGGAATCCATGGGGATGGGGGAATCCATGGGGATGGGGGAATCCATGGGGATGGGGGAATCCATGGGGAGAGGGGAATCCATGGGGATGGGGAATCCATGGGGAGGGGGGAATCCATGGGGAGAGGGGAATCCATGGGGATGGGGGAATCCATGGGGATGGGGAATCCATGGGGATGGGGGATCCATGGGGATGGGGAATCCATGGGGATGGGGGAATCCATGGGGATGGGGGAATCCATGGGGAGAGGGGAATCCATGGGGATGGGGAATCCATGGGGATGGGGAATCCATGGGGAGAGGGGAATCCATGGGGAGGGGGGAATCCATGGGGAGAGGGGAATCCATGGGGATGGGGAATCCATGGGGAGGGGGGAATCCATGGGGAGGGGGGAATCCATGGGGAGGGGGGAATCGATGGGGGAATCCATGGGGAGAGGGGAATCCATGGGGAGAGGGGAATCCATGGGGAGGGGGGAATCCATGGGGAGAGGGGAATCCATGGGGATGGGGGAATCCATGGGGAGAGGGGAATCCATGGGGAGAGGGGAATCCATGGGGAGGGGGGAATCCATGGGGAGGGGGGAATCCATGGGGATGGGGGAATCCATGGGGAGAGGGGAATCCATGGGGAGGGGGGAATCCATGGGGAGAGGGAATCCATGGGGATGGGGGAATCCATGGGGAGAGGGAATCCATGGGGATGGGGGAATCCATGGGGATGGGGGAATCCATGGGGAGAGGGAATCCATGGGGATGGGGGAATCCATGGGGAGAGGGGAATCCATGGGGAGGGGGGAATCCATGGGGAGAGGGAATCCATGGGGATGGGGGAATCCATGGGGATGGGGGAATCCATGGGGAGAGGGGAATCCATGGGGATGGGGAATCCATGGGGAGAGGGGAATCCATGGGGATGGGGAATCCATGGGGAGGGGGGAATCCATGGGGATGGGGGAATCCATGGGGATGGGGGAATCCATGGGGAGAGGGGAATCCATGGGGATGGGGAATCCATGGGGAGAGGGGAATCCATGGGGATGGGGAATCCATGGGGGGGGGGAATCCATGGGGATGGGGGAATCCATGGGGATGGGGGAATCCATGGGGAGAGGGGAATCCATGGGGATGGGGGAATCCATGGGGATGGGGGAATCCATGGGGATGGGGGAATCCATGGGGAGAGGGGAATCCATGGGGAGAGGGGAATCCATGGGGATGGGGGAATCCATGGGGAGAGGGGAATCCATGGGGAGAGGGGAATCCATGGGGAGAGGGGAATCCATGGGGATGGGGAATCCATGGGGAGAGGGGAATCCATGGGGATGGGGAATCCATGGGGAGAGGGGAATCCATGGGGAGGGGGAATCCATGGGGAGAGGGGAATCCATGGGGAGGGGGAATCCATGGGGATGGGGAATCCATGGGGATGGGGAATCCATGGGGATGGGGGAATCCATGGGGAGGGGGGAATCCATGGGGATGGGGAATCCATGGGGATGGGGAATCCATGGGGAGAGGGAATCCATGGGGAGAGGGGAATCCATGGGGAGAGGGGAATCCATGGGGACGGGGACACTCCATAGGAACAGGGTCGTCCCGTGGGGACAGGGACCCCCCCATTGGGACAGGGGTATCCATGGGGATGGGGATATCTATGGGGACAGGGGCATCTATGGGGACAGAAACACATCCATGGGGACCAGGAAACCCAATGGGGGCAGGGGCATCCCTGGGGAGAGGGACCCCACATTGGGACAGGGACACCCCATAGGCACAGGGACACCCCATGGGCACAAGCACACCCCATAGGGACAGGGACACCCTATAGGGACAGGTACACCCCATAGGCACAAGCACACCCCATAGGGACAGGGACACCCCATGGGCACAAGCACACCCCATAAGGGACAGGGACACCCCATAGGGACAGGGACACCCCATGGGCACAAGCACACCCCATAGGGACAGGGACACCCCATAGGGACAGGGACACCCCATGGGCACAAGCACACCCCATAAGGGACAGGGACACCCCATAGGCACAAGCACACCCCATAGGGACAGGCACACCCCATAGGCACAAGCACACCCCATAGGGACAGGGACACCCCATGGGCACAAGCACACCCCATA